TTTGAAATGAAGGTGATGACCTTCCAGACTGGAGTGAAGGTCAGGAGATAAATGTCTAAAGTACCTGGTCCATTGTGCAGCCTGGATGTGGGGGTTATAATAAGGTCCTTCCCCAAAATTTGGGAATAGGAAGCAACAATGCTCTCTAACAGCCAAGCTGGAAATTGAGCACGTAAAGCATCTGAGTGGAGATGAAAGGTGACCATGAAGTGACCAGCAGGACACCACCATACCTAAAGGAGGATATGGAAACTAGAAGGCGTCGGTCAGATACAAGGCCCAGAGAAAGGAGACTCAGAGGCAAACTGAGGCTGTACCTCTAATGCTGTGTCAATGAGCCCCAAAATTCAGTCTAAAAGGTCATTCCAATCATCAGAACATATCCATCTGTCTGCCCAAACTTAACGCTGTTCCATTTTTGAATCACACAAACAGTTCTTTTTGCTCAGATTCCACACTGACCAAAACCTTTCTGATAGTTTGGGCTCCTCTCTGGCCTGTGCATAGGGAATCTTCCCTGGTCAAGCCCATCTGGCCATCCAGCTCTCCCCAAGCCAGCATCCCTCTCAACCCCCTGTGTTCTCTTTTATTCTAGAGGTTAGGCATGTCAACATAGATCCAGATGGGGGAGCAATCACATTTTTGTCTAATTTACAGCTCTAATTAGGGGAGATAAGAAAAATAGAGCCTGAGAAGAAATTGTCCAAGAATTGCAAAATTGTCAGAGCACCCACAACATTTTGGAGAAGGCACCCTTGTGAACTTTGCCTTTGCAGCTAAACTGGTCTCATACCAACTCTTCCAGGAAGACAGGGCAAGCACTTGATGCCTCATTTCTTTATTTATTCATACCCTGCTTGTTCCTTAAAGGGCTTAATTAGGTCAAGCAGGCATTAAAGGCCATCCTCTGTGACTAGCAATAAAACTGAAAGGGTGAAAGGAAGAGGTCCATCCAGGATCACATCATTTTTATACAGAGGTCCAGAGACCAAACCGTGGCCTTTTCAGTCCAATTACAAAGCTCTTGCCAAAGAACCAAACTGAAGATGAGAAAGGAAGGACGTGTGTTCTAAACAGAAATGTTGACTCCAGAAGGCTTGAGGATGGTCTTAGATTAGGACTGGAGTTCTGTGATTTGTAAGTCAGTTTTTATGCTTTTGTGATTTCCTTATTTTAATCTTTTGAATTCTTTTACGTTTTTTATTTATTACAAAAGAAGACGACTTTAGAGTCCAACCATAACAGTAGCTTATACTGAACCACTGAAAACAACAGACGGACTAAATACATAATACAACCACATAAAGCCACTGGACAGCCACCAGTGCAGATGCTTCCTGAGAGAAGGTAGGCACAAAAAGCGGCTCCATGTTCACCTTGGCCCATGGCACAGGGCAGGGGAATAGAGTAAGTGGCAGTTCCACTGGGCTGAAAAGACAGATTACAGTTCAAAGCTGCTGAAGGGCCTGGGACTTGGTGGTAAAATCCCAGAAAGGAGAGAATTGCAGAGAAATGAACCCAAAAGGGGTTATGCAATCTCCCCTGGAGATGTTCGCCAACTCCGAAGCTGAGCAAGCACAGTCAGAATCTACATGGAAACTAACAGAAGGCAGAAGCTGGGTGGCTAGAGAGCTGGGCAAAATCGTCTGCAGCAGCGTGGTACTGAAGAGATGGAGGCACAAGGTCCACCGGTGGAACGGCAGTATCTGAACTTGTAGTTGCAACTGCAGAAAGCCCATAGCTTGGTATTAGAGGCAAAACTAAAATGGACCAACTCTAACAAAGCCTAAAACTAGCCCTTGACAGGATTCTGGTGATTTGCCTACACTCTGTGTGCCTCCATTTTAGAAGAAACATAAAACAATCGAGAACCTAAAAAAAAGTTAATAACCAATAAGCTGTTTTAAAATAGAAGAAAAAAATAAAATAACAGAAAATGCTTGATTTCTCCCCCTACCCCAAGAAAGCAAGAAAGGAGAATAAAGGAATAAAACCAGGAAAAGAAACAAGCAACAAGATAGCAGATTTAAACATAAATATTTCAATAATTACATTAAATGTTGTAAATCATGCCTCCAATTAAAGATCAGAATTACTTTTGAATAAAGAAGTAAAACTGGCCAGGCACAGTGCCTCATGCCTATAATCCCAGCAATTTGGGAGGCCAAGACTGGAGGACTGCTTGAGGCCAGAAGTCCAAGACCAGTCTGAGCAACATAGCGAGACCTTGTTTCTACAAAAAAATAGAAAAATTAGCCGGGCATGGTGGCGTATGCTTGTAGTCCCAGATACTAGGGAGGTTGAGTCAGGAAGATTGCTTCAACCCAGGTTGTAGTGAGCTATGATGACATTGCACTCTAGCCTGGGCAATAGAGTGAAACCTTGTCTCAAATAAAGCAAAATCCGTGTGCTATTTACAAGAGATTCAATTTAAATACAAGAACCCTATGTACCTGCTATGCCTTGTGCCACACGGTGCATGGACCTTGAAGCCCTGCCCACATGAACAGAAGTTTTTCAAAAGAAGATAGACAAAGGCCAACAAACATATGAAAACATGCTTAACACCACTAATCATCAGGGAAATGAAAATTAAAACCACAATGAGGCCGGGCGCGGTGGCTCACGCCTGTAATCCTAGCTCTCTGGGAGGCCGAGGCGGGCGGATTGCTCGAGGTCAGGAGTTCGAAACCAGCCTGAGCAAGAGCGAGACCCCGTCTCTACTATAAATACAAAGAAATTAATTGGCCAACTAATATATATAGAAAAAATTAGCCGGGCATGGTGGCGCATGCCTGTAGTCCCAGCTACTCGGGAGGCTGAGGCAGGAGGATGGCTTGAGCCCAGGAGTTTGAGGTTGCTGTGAGCTAGGCTGACGCCACGGCACTCACTCTAGCCTGGACAACAAAGCGAGACTCTGTCTCAAAAAAAAAACAAACAAACAAACAAACAAAAAAAACCACAATGAGATACTGCCTTACCCCTGTCAGCATGGCCATTAATATAATAAAAAGTCTAAAAACAATAGATGCTGGCATGGATACAGAGAGAAAGAAATGCTTATTCCCTGTTGGAGGGACTGCAAATTAGTACAACCTCTATGGAAAACTGTATGGAGAGTCCTAAAAGAAATAAATGTATACCTACTATTTGATCCAGCACTATCCAAAGGAAAAGAAGTCATTTTGTGAAAAAGACACCTGCACCTGAATCTTTACTGCAGCACAATTCACAATTGAAAGATTTAGAATCAACCTAAGTGCCCATCAATTCATGAGTGAATAAAGAAAATTAGAAAATATTTAAAACTAAATAATGGTGAAAATATGACATATCAAAACATCTGTGCTACAAGTAAAGTGGAGGTTAAAAAAAATTCATAGCTTTAAATATATATATTTGAGAAGAACCATTGAAAATCCACATGATCTAATTTTCCATCTTAAGAAGCTAGAAAAAGAAGAGCAAATTAAACTCAAAGGAATTAGAAGGAAGGCAATAATAAAGACAGCAGGAGAAATCTTTGAAATAGAAAACAAATATATAATGAGAAAAGTCTACAGATTTTAAAAGAGACTTGAGATGCCTCCCTTTGTTTCTTAGTAAAGCTTTGTTTTAGTTCTTCCTTCCCTATCTGTATACATTTTATTTCGTTACTTTTTCTTATTACAATAGGTAGGACTTCCATTACTTTGTTGAATAGGACATCCTTGCCTTTTTCCTGATCTTAGGGGAAAAGTATATAATTTCTTGCCATTAAGTATGATGGTAACTGTAGGTTTTTTGTAGATGATCTTTATAAAGTTGAGGGAGCTCCCCTCTATTCGTAGTTTGTTGGGAGATTTTATCATGGATATTGGATTTTTTTGTTTTTGTTTTTTTGAGACAGAGTCTCACTTTGTTGCCCAGGCTAGAGTGAGTGCCCTGGCATCAGTCTAGCTCACAGCAACCTCAAACTCCTGGGCTCAAGCGATCCTACTGCCTCAGCCTCCCGAGTAGCTGGGACTACAGGCATGTGCCACCATGCCCAGCTAATTTTTTCTCTATATATTAGTTGTCCTATTAATTTCTTTCTATTTATAGTAGAGACGGGGTCTCGCTCTTGCTCAGGCTGGTTTCGAACTCCTGACCTCAAGCAATCCACCCGCCTCGGCCTCCCAGATATTGGATTTTAACACATGCTTTTTGTGTATTGATTGATATGATATGATTTTTCTTCTTTAGCCTCTTGATAGGGTGGATTACATTGATTGATTGTGAATGTGAACCAGCCTTGCACATCTGAAATAAATCCCACTTGGTTGTGATGTACAATTTTTTTTTATACATTGTTGGATTCAATATGCTAACATTTTATTGAGGATTTTTGCACCCATGTTCATGAGAACTACTGGTCTGTAGTTTTTCTTTCTTGTAATGTCTTATCTGGTTTTGGTATTAGGGTAATGCTGGTCTGGTAGAATAAATTAGGGAGTAAAGGTTTGTTTTTAAAAGTTTCTTTGAACCATGACGATCCTAAAGGGTGGTCATTGTGAGACCCTGATGCTTTAGTTGGAGAGCCCAGGAAGATCTGGTAGAAATGGAACAAAAAGCTAGGTAAACATCCTAGTGGTAAAGATTGTGGAAGAGTAGTTATGGTTGTTTGCTCCCCTGCTAGGCTAAAATCTAGTTGAGAAGGTTATATACACACATACATATTTAAATTAACAGTGGAAGACAGTATATTGCCTATAAAACACCTTAGAGACAACAAATGATGTAGGATTTGAGAAAGGAACGTTGGTAAGTTTCTTTCTTCTAAACTAAGTTTACTCTTTGGTTCTTCTCCCACCTAGATGCCCCAGGGTAGGGGAATGGATGTGTGAAACATGTCACAATTACACTAAACAATTCAGCATTTTATGGTATTGGAAAGGTAAACACATCACACTAAAACAGTATCAATTTAAGTTCCTATAAATTCAAAGGTACTTTATTCTATCCAAGGTTGAAAAGCATACCTTTGTAATATGGAGACAGAGACCACTAATCTGGTTAATGGTATAAGCAAAACTCTGTTGGAGGCAAAAATGGAGGAAGGAATGATTAGGACTTACTTAAAAAGAACAAACACTTCAATCCTGTTAACAATTATAGTAAAGCTTCGTTAAGTTGGATTTTACCAATTTGGCATTTGTGCCAAAATTCAGTACTGGTGCTAAATTCTACCAAGATAAAAGAGTGTTTTTTTAAAGGCTTTCTCTGAATGTCAAAACACCATTAAGTAAACAGTAATTATGTTTACAAAATATTCTTATTTTACAGAATAACCTCTATGTTAAGATACCATCAGTTATAGTTGGTCATTAATTTAGAATAATATTTTTAAAAAACACTATTTCATAAACAATTTTAAGACACATCTTAATTTTGGAAATAGTATCTGTGAAAAATGTCCATTTTAGGATTAAAGAAATTTGTAGCCCACTACTCCTTGCTGAGATTCAGACCCTAAAAATCCAACTGTTTGTTGGACATATCCATTTCTATTTCAACACCCTTGAAATTCTATCCATCATTCCATTAATCCCCTCACCCAAATCTGCTTCCATTTCTCTTGTCCATTTCTATTTCCATTATCAAAACTTTGCTCAAGTCAGAAAGCTTGACTCTTTCTCTCTTGTCACCCTCCACATCCAACTGGCCGACCGAGTTCTGTCCTCTTTACCTCCTAGGTGTGTCCTGACCCCACCCACTCCCTCACACACGCCCACTGCCGCCATCTCTGTTCACAGCACCAGCCTCTCTCTCCTGGAAGATTGCAGCAACTTCCCCACTGATATGTGCCTTCTGCTCACTGCAGCTGGAGCAATCTTTTCAAAACCCTGCACTTCTTCAAATCTTTTCAACAGTTACGCAAGACCCTTTATGACAAAGCACCAAATGCTCATCATGACATCTGAGATGCTTGTGACAGGAACCAGTGCTTGGTTCTTCTGCACCGTCTCACTCCGCTTGCCTCCTTGGTTGAGAGACTCCAGCTGTCTTGACTTCTTTTAGTTCCCCAAGCATTCATAGAAGGCTCTGTCCAATTGCTCAGTTGCCTCTCTTTCCCTTTGGTTAACCCAGACACACACATCTTGCAGGCCTCAGCCAAAAGGTCCCTTCCTCGAGGAGGCTTTCCTTGGCCCCCAGATTAGATCAGGTCCCCCTGCTCTATGCTTTCACGTGAGCAGCATGGTCCCTCACATTCATCACACACATCACACTAATAATCATCGGCTCAAATCCATCCTTCCCAGTAGAGTGCAAGATATATTTCCACACTGCGCTTAATGCCTGGCACACAGTAAGTTCTCCTTAACATGTTGGTACATACATTAAAGAGTAATTTCATTAAAGAATACATTTTATTAAAGGATAAAGGCAAATATTTGCTGCATAAGAGCTTAGATTCTGGAATCTACTGCTGGATTCATATTCTAACTTCCCCACTTATTAGCAAGGTGACAAATAGAAGGTGACATTTTGTGTCTCAATTTCTCTCTTTATAAATGGGTATAACATGCTACATACTTCATGGGGAGTTATGAGGACTGAATAAATTTGTGCAAGTAAAGCACTTAAACCATTGTCTGGCACATAGAAAGCACTCAGCAAATATTAGTCAGCATTGTCTTATTTATCTGTTCCAAGAACACTAGAAGGAATTATATCCAGTAAACTGAGGGGTATATACAGCAAGAATTTGAGTAAGGAAAAGGTAACTGTCTTGAGATGGAACTACCAAAAGTTAACATAAAAATAGTGTATATCCACTCCTCACCTGCAGTAGTCCTTCCTTTAGTGACAACTTGGATTTAAGCTGCCGCCAATATAGCTTTGGGAACCATCCGAATGAATCGAGGTAGCAGAATGCATCTTCTAGTCCAGACTCTAAGATTAAGTGGGATAATGCACATTATGAGCATTCCGAAAACCATAAAGTATGATCTGAATGTTTGTGGTATGATTATTACTATTATTAGCAGGGTAATTCTATTACCCAAGCAATGGTATCACAATCCGTCTGAAGCAACATGATCATATAATCACAAGGTCCTACTAGAAGGGCAGAGGAACTGAAGAACTGGGAGGGCAAAACTTGGTAATGTTTATCCAGTGCAATCCAAACAAGAGGGATGTGCACGTGAGACAAGACAGGTGACATTCATAAAACAAAGTTTCTCCTGAGATTTTACCAATAACTTGGTTCTAATGGTCGATATGACCAGACAGTGGTAAGTTAGTGGTAAGTTGTTCCTACCCTCGTGTTATGTTCCAAAAAGATAGTTGCACAAATAAAAATATAATTGTATCTGGTGCTAAGTACTATATTACACTGGAGGATCAGGAAAGGTTGTTCTGACACTTTAATGGGGGCTGGGAGTTAACAGACATGGGGTGAGGGAAGAGCTGTCAGGCAGAAGGTAACAGAGCACAGTGTGTTTGAGGACCTGAAAGCCAGTACAGACTGGGAGGGGGAGAAGGGTAGAGAGCACACGAGAAATGAACCTGGAAAGGCAGGCAGGGACCAGAGCACAAAGGCCCTTAGTGGCCACTTGGAGGTAGTTTGGATTTATTTTGAGCATAAAATATAAGAACAAGATTACTTATGATGGGATTTGTGCTTGTCAAAGATCCTTTGGGTTGCTGTGTAAAGAATGGATTGGAAAGGGCATTAAAGCAGAAATGGAGAGACCAGTTAGGAGAATTTTATGATAGTCTAATCAAAGGATAATGGTATCTTGGACAAGAGTGGGAGCAGTGGACAGGAGGGGACAGACTGGTGATATCTATAGGGATGGGATTCATAGAGCTTGGGGACAGACTGGATGCAGAGAAGGAGCACAAAGGAGCAGTTCCAGGATTCTGGCATGAGCAGTTGGGTGGAAGAGTTGCCCTCCATTCGCTAGAATGAGCAAGGATGAAGGAGAAATAGATTAAAGGTGGCTCTGGGTGAGAATGTAGATATTATGGAGTGAACAAGAGGTCTATTTGAATAAGTTCTATTTAGGAAGCCTGTGAGACCTCCCAGGGGAGAGATATCAAGTGTCAAGTGGCCATTTGGGTATGTGGAAGTGAAGCTTAGAGAGATCCAGTCTGCCCCAGACATTTGGAGGTCGATGGTGCATATAAAAGCATTTAAAGCCCTTGGGATTAGAGAAGTCATCTGGGGGCAAATGCAGAAAAGAAGCAAGGAGAACCACCAGTCTCTTGAGAGCTATATTCTCATCATTCAGATCCCTACAGCTTATCAACTCTCGATGGGTTAACAAGATCAGGTTTCTTTTTTTTTTTTGAGACAGAGTCTTACTTGTTGCCCAGGCTAGAGTGAGTGCCATGGCATCAGCCTAGCTCACAGCAACCTCAAACTCCTGGGCTCAAGCGATCCTGCTGCCTCAGCCTCCGAGTAGCTGGGACTACAGGCATGCGCCACCATGCCCGGCTAATTTTTATATATATATATTAGTTGGCCAATTAATTTCTTTCTATTTATAGTAGAGACGGGGTCTCGCTCTTGCTCAGGCTGGTTTCGAACTCCTGACCTCGAGCAATCCGCCCGCCTCGGCTTCCCAGAGTGCTAGGATTACAGGCGTGAGCCACCGTGCCGGCAAGATCAGGTTTCTTAACTTAATAATCATTGCTTCATGCATGGGCACTCCAGCAAGGTAGCAGCACCTTCCACTGATGACAATTCTACTTGAAAACACAGCCGAGATTATCATCACCATTGTACAGAGGAAAAAGTGGCTATGAAAGTTTAAGTGATTTGGTTAAAATTGCAGAGTCAGTGAGAGATAGACAGGACTGGGACTCAATTCAGAGCATGTAGTTAGCACGTAGGGCATGTGGAAGAGCTCTTTCTGCCTTTCAAGAATAGATCCCTCAAAAAAATTTCTAAGAAAGAAAAAAAAAAAAAGAATAGATCCCTACCATCATCACAAGCTTGTGAAGAAAAGTAGAAGTTTGTGAACCTAATGGGAAGACCATAGAAAAAAGAAAGTTCTTAAGCAAATTAAATTATAAGCCTGTGGGAACAAGAGGTCATCACGAACTCAGGAAACTATCAATAAGGCTCCATGGGGATGTGGACTGCGAAGGGTAAGGAGGAATTACAGTGGGTGAAGGGAGGGGGGAATCTTAGATTTAAGGACATGTTGAGCCAAAATGTGGGGCACACAAGGGCAGGTCTTACCGGAAAAGGGGGATGGCAAGTGGGCTTCATTTCACACATCAGCTGCAATAGCTCGGTAATGGCTCAGTGCAGGAGGGGTAGCGGGACTTGTCAAGGGCAGGAGATGAGGAATTGGAGGCATCGCACGTTTACCTTTCCCGGACTGGAGAGTCAGGGAGTGACCAGGGGAAGACACATTTGGATAGCTTAGACCGGGGTCAGATCATGTCTGCATGGAAAACCAGGCCCAAAACATTGAGTTTAATTTAGTAGTCCACAAATAGCCTTTAGAGATTATTGAAGAAGGAGGAAATGTAATGAAACCCTCAGCAAAATCAACATGGTGGTGGTGGCGTGCCACATAAGATAAAGGTGGAAAAGACTGAAATCCCAGAGGAAAACTGGGAGTCTACTAGCTTGATGTAAATCAGTGGCTTTTCAAACTTTCTTTAGCAGGGAAACTTTTCTTTTTTATTTTTTCTTATTCTTATTGTTTTTTTTTTTTTCCAAGGAATCTGTAACTGGTTGTGAACAGGGAACCCTTTCTAAAATGAAATCTTATGTGAAATTGTTATGGTATAAAGCAGAAAAAAAGTCTGATCTCTTTATTAGGGCAATTTATTTTATAGCTTGAAACATATATGCTTATAATAGAGTTGAACAAAAGATAAAGGAAATTGATTAATATACACAAAGTTTTAATCTGGGGTGAAGGAAGATAGTTGCATCTGGTATTAGCTTTGGCATCCAAGCATCCAATTTATTTCTGAATTTTATTTTGGTTTTACAGTAGCAAGAAATACCACCTCAACACACTGATTCACATAGACACGTACTTGCATATAATCATTTTGGTTTGTTTGTTTTGTATTTTACAATTTGCCTGCAATCCCAAAATACCCTTCAATTAAACTAATCCAGAAGGTAGTGTCATAGGAATGTTTGTTTCCTTAACAAAAATATGAATAGCAAGAAGCCTCCAAAGCAAAGTAATAAAAAAAAAAAGTGAGGCTACCTACAGAGTGAGATTATCAAGCTAGGCCGGGGGATAGGCCATGTGCGACTGCCCAGTCACTGTGGTAAGCGCAGGCGCAGCCGCAGTGCCCGAAAGAGGCTCGCTGTGGAGTCTAGCCAGGCATTTAATAAAGCGCAGTGCGCCTGCGCAGTACTAGTGGCTGCGTTTGCAGTTTTATATGAGCAGATGTGCAGAGTCTGGAAGTGAGAAAAGAACAGTCTGCAGTTTCAACTTTCTCAATATCGAGGACATTAGGCTGTGCATTTATGTTTGAATCTGCTGGGGTCACGATTCTTTATTTTCCTTGGGTTGCCCCAAGACCTCAAGAAAAAACAAAACAAAACAAAACTACTGGGGCGGGGTGGGAGGAGGGGTTGGATAAAGAAGAGGAGCAGGTACCAGGTCTGAAATTTTTTTCTAGCTAATAGAAGAGTCTCCATAATATATTTAGTGATAAGTTTGGATGAACACAGATCATGTACAAATGAAGTGAGGAAATTCCATTCCATAATACAAATGTATTACATAATACATACCCAATGTTTGAAGGAACTTTGTATTTAAAAGAGAATTTAAAAGGTGCTAATAATTCCCATCCTCAGATTAAAGAAGGATGTTTGAATCGCTTATGTTCCAGAAATTTCAGGACCATAAAGAGCACAGACACTGTGGAGAATAGGTGTCAATTACATGTAAACATATTAAGAGTCTGTCTTTTGATATTGTAGAGGTTTATTCGTTTGTTTTTAAATCTAGGGCAGATAAGAAATCTTTAGGAGTAGAAAAAAACCTATTTACACTTACTGGGATAGCAAATTAATATTCCATTTCTTAGAGTTGCAAAATTAAAATCCAGTTTTTCTTGAGTTTAAATTACCAGTCTTGTTATGCAAATTAAGAATAGTTCACTTTTCTTTGATTAATATTTGGTGAGCTCAGGTTAAGGAAACTAAATTAAATTTAAGCAATTTCATATACAGACTTGGATAATTAAATCCCCTTAAACATTTTAAACTGCATTTATAAATTTAATAGAGTCAGTTTTATTTTAGACATTTCAAATGCCTGCAGAGCTAATTTATAATCTCACAAGCAAAACCTGCCCCAAGTACTTAAATAACTCTTACAAATCTAACCCATTAAATGTATAAATAGGGCAAATTTAATTCTCTTAAACATTCCAATTCCTCAGAAAAAGAAAGAGTATTAATACTGAAAGAAATGGGGAAATTGGAAAGAGAAGGTATGCTGATAGGAGTCCTTAAAGATGTGCCATAAGAAATGGGCACTAAGAAATCAGAATTGCCAGAGTCCTCAACATACACGTGCCCCAATCCCACCCTGGACCTACTGAATCTCACTTGCTATGAATATTTTGAAAATGCTCCCTGATTCCTAATATTGTTCGTGTCTTCCAAGACTCCCTCTTCTCCTATCTTCACCCCACTTATTACACTCTCTGCCTACTTGTGAGTCAGCTGCTGGGGAGATGCAGATATGACAGCAATCACCTAGAAGGAAGACTGTCTTCCTTCATAAGCAAATTTTTAGAGAATAGAACCCCAAGTCTTGGGAAGACACCCTGAGAAGGGGCAGAAAGAAGAGAAGCTTAAAAAAGAAATGATAGAATTCTATATCTAACTACATTTCTAAGACAAAAATAACAAAGTTATAACACTTACCCTTTGCCCTCAGTACATATGA